TTCTTGTCTCTTTATAGATCATGAAGTTGGAGCTGTGTGGAAACACCAACATGGGAGTTGAAGGTTTATCATCAGTTGGACAAATACTTTCCAATCAATCCTGTGTTGAATACTTGAGCCTTATTGTCTGCAACCTGTCATCAGATCAGCTACAAGCTTTCAAATCATCCTTGGGAAACACAGAGGTATAACACAATAATAATGACATGATTAACGTTTTAACAAGGGTTGGGGGAAATTTTGATTTTTCATTATGTTATAGTTTTACACTTTCATAACCCAAAATTGGATTGCATGATGGAATTTATGAAAAACCTCTACAATAATAAGTTTATCATTTTTGAGACTAGTTTTCAGGCCTACTTGTTTATACAAAGTTTGGTTGAAAAACATAATAACCAATTCTTCTGACCAATTCGGTTCTGTTGAGTCTTGTTCTGTGATTGTGTGAAATACGCAAAATTGCCCTATATCATACCTATATCAATTTTTTCTGATGATTTTCCAAGTTTAATTGATGAATAAAAAAATTTTAGAACCAAATTAGCAAAGTATTCTTTTCTTGAGTACTTATCATTAAATATATTTTTTGACAAAAATGTTCTATATGACGCTTATCAACACCATTCACTCTAAATTAGGCCCTGTACAACTGTTCACTGATATATTTTAAAAAAGGATAAGGAAATAGTATTTCCTTCTAACAGATATCAGTGAAAAATTGTACATAACCTGGTTTGGAGTGAACGGCATTGAAAAGATCATATAACACATTTTTCTGAAAATTTGAATGCAATTCAGATTGAAATGGCATGAATTATATTGTTAGGCCATGACATTAATATTACCGGTAGTTATCAGACATAGCCAACCAAGCTAATTCGATTTTTAGTTTTCTATGATACCAAAATTGTTAGCATATATTCGTGACCGAAAATATAGAAATCCAGATAACAATTTAGACTGCCAAGCACATCATTCAACTTTGCTAGTCGCCTAAGAACACTATTCAATTCAGTGACATTCGTGATATACAATATGCCAAAAGATTTTTCTGGTTAATTCTATGAAGAAACAACACCAAATGTGAATTTTGATTACCATCTGGCTCGCGGGCCTGGGTTTGGACCACCCTGGTCTAGAATATTACTAGAAAATCGTGAATCAAAACCTAGAAATTCAATTGAGTCGTCTTTGGTCTCGATACTCCATAAACTGGAGAAGCCTCAGGGATTTTAATGAACATAATTCTTTCCAATTTTTAGTCACCGCATATCAGTCACGTAAGTATGTCTACAAAACGTGCAGCGCTCAAAATGAATTGGACTTTCCAACCAACCCGCTCACTTAGTTAATCGCGCCACAGTTAAAGATCCTCAAGTTTCTATGGATGGCAATAAGTAGCTAGGTGCGGGCCCCAACTATCAGCGGAGATCCTGGGTGCCTACCGGCTTGTTTTTTTTATTTCTCACTCAGTAAAGAATCATTTATAGAAATTTTTATATGTGTAAAAATAATTAGATGGTTACCAGACGGAGCCACCCAAATTTCCGAATAGAAAACCGCTGTGCACAATGAATATGCTTGATCAGGAACTAAAAAGTTTTTAGAAATATTTTCATTGAAACTTCACAGAATTAGCTGAGTTTTTGTCCAATTGACATGGCTTGCAGCAACGACCCGATCGCTATTTCACCCAATGTTGATTTTTGTATTAAAGTGAAAAAACAAAACTTGATTTTCAAATTTTTTGTATTTTAAGCTATAGTATGAGCTTACAATTTTTCTTTGTTTACTATAAGTGCACTTCCCTGCAAAAACTGCGAGAAATTTTCGCAAATGCTAAACTTTTTAGGAATTTTGTTATTTCATAGTGAGCAAAGGCAGGTCAAAACATTTTTTGACTTTTGAAATTTGAAATTCATACCTGCAACTGTGACTGTTTTGATATCATAACAATATTTTTGTTCTGTTCTATGAGTTTCAAGGATTTCATAATTGCTCAATCATTTCATCTTGTGCAGTTGTTAACATGGGATTCAACTATTCCGAATTTACAGATTTTAATTCTGATATGTCTAGTTTTGTAGTTCAGACTTTGTTTTAAATTCAACGGTATTTTCTATGAAATAACAATGGTATGTTTGTATCGAAAACTACTTCCAGTTTGAGAAGTTCATAATTTTTTATTTCTCACTCAGTAGAGAACCATTTATAGATTTCATGGTTTATAAATTATTCTTGTTTCTTTTTAGATCAGGGAGTTGAGGCTGGGTGGAAACACAAACATGGGAGTTGAAGGTTTATCATCAGTTGGACAAATACTTTCCAATCAATCCTGTGTTAAATACTTGGGCCTTTTCAGCTGTAACCTGTCATCAGATCAACTACAAGCTTTCAAATCATCCTTGGGAAACACAGAGGTATAACACAATAATAATGACATAATTAACGTTTTAACAAGGGTTTGAATTTGATTTTGTAATAAGTTATAGTTTTACACTTTCATAGCCCAAAATTGGATTGCATGGTGAAATTTATGAAAACCGCTATAATTTTAAATTTATCTTTTTTAATAATAGTTCCCAGGCCTAAATAATCATTTGAAAATTTGAAATATATAATAATCAATCCTTGTGACCAATTTGGTTATGTTGAGTCCTGTCCTATGATTGTGTGAGATACCTAAAATGTCCTACATTGTACCTAAAGTATATTAGTTTTTTTTTCTGATTAGGTTCCAAGTACAATTGATTTTGAATAAAAGGCAAATGAGCAAAGTATTCTTTTCCTTCAATACCTGTCAAATATATTTTTTGAGGAAAATGTGCTTTCACTCTAAACCAGGTCATCTACAATTGCCACTGATATCTGTTAAAAGGAGTTACTATTTTCAGAAAATCTGTAAGCGTTTCAGTTCGGCATTGGCCTCCCATTTTACTACACCTTGTGTTCAGTGATTTGAACTTGTGCAATCTGGAATGCAAAGATGGTCAAATCTAAAGCATTTACTACTAGGTCATCACACCCATGCGTGTAAATTTATATTTCCCATGTTATCCTATCATCTTCAAAAATTGCTTCCAAGTTTTAGTGTTCAACAGTAAAAATGGAAAAAATAGATTAAAATTTGGAACAGAAAGTCACAGATTTTAAACAATAAATAATGAATGATGACAAATCTAAAATTCTATTTATTTGCAACATTGGAAGTTTCATTTGTTCCATGTCCGCATTTAATTTTCACACGATCAGATATAGAATTGTTAATTTCTATAAGCTTGAGTCACAGAATATTACATTTATTTCAGTCACCACCCACGAAGCGTTCAGAGCAAAATATAAAAAACTCATGCTCTCCTCTTACCAATCCCCATCTCCCAGTTAATGTCGAGTTAGTATTTCATTTTCTCGCCATTTTCAGCTGAACAATTGACCAGATCCATAACTATTGAGTCTTTAGTACCTGGAATGGTCGTTCTTTGTGATTTGTGACTTTTTAAATCTCTTTCTATAATTAGTTTTATAGTGTATTTCTCTGCTAATTGGTACCATTGCATGGACATATTTCATGTGATAGGTATAGGTATAGATTGCAGTATGGCATTCAAAACAATAGTTTCCAGGCCATAGATGTACAATAATACTAAGACCTTAATCTCAAACCAGTTAGTTAGTCCTTTTATGCTAAGTTGTTAATAAATGTTATATTTTGTGTATTACAACTACCTTTATTTTGAATGGTTACACGTCTACACTATTCCCAATCGTTGTTAAACATTTCATTGACTGCTTGTTGCAAACCCCTGAATAACTGTTTCATATTATAGTATTTATAGTTACCCACATTTCGTTTAATATTCAATTCACTGATTAGAATCAATAATCTTAAACATTTCACACAGAGTTATGGCACTCATCTTTTACTCAAGCACAATGACAGTATGAGGTTCATGTTTCATAATTTCTTCTTATCAAATGGGTAAATTAATTAGTTAACATTTTATACACGCCTGCACTTTGAAAATCCTACCTTATGCATCCTTGAAAACTCAGACCCGTACCTAATTTAATCAGCCAGTGCCCCGGGTGAGCAGTTGTCATGGTTACCATGCTTAATGGTGCTTGTAGTCTCTATTTTTACATTGACTATCGCCTCTGGATTTACTAGACCGTACTTGAACGTTCTCCTCACTAAGATGCTATTCCTATTCTATTTTATTCTAAGCTGTATATGTACGGCACACATTTCAGCATTTGTGGAGAAATAAATTACTTATAACTGATTAAAGCACTATTAGCGCTATAAATCATTAGACATTTACAATGGAAGGGGTAATTTTGATATCATATATGTTCGTATGTCTGTTGTATTTTAGTAAATTCTAATGAGACGGGCCAATTAGGTCTTTGGGACATAAATTAAGCATGCCTTTTCACAACAAACCTTGTGACAAACTTAAACTTTTAATCTTTTGTACAGAATCAATAAATTACCTTCCAAACAACCTTTTTTGACTTCTGGAACCCGGCTAGTTTTTGTATGTCACAAGAGTTTCTCTGTTGGTGAAATTTCAATTTTGACTATGTTGCTTTGAGTAAACAATGATTTCACAATTTTGTTTAATGATTGCAAATGTTAGCGATTTATGAAATACAATTGGTTTCACCACAAAAAAATGCTACACAACGAAAACATTGAATTTTGATAACTATTGTTTCTCCCTTGATGAAAACTCCCAACTTCTAGCACCAGGCTGTATTCAATGTTACAATGCATTTCTGTGTAATATGAATAATATGGGTTTGGACAAACTATGATGAATATGACTGTTATATATTTTATTCATAACTGATTGTTGTTTGTATTTCTTTATTTCAACAGATTGATCGGCTGTCTCTGAGGGAAAATCGAATCGCAAACCATGAAGATATTGTTGCAGTTGCAAATCTGCTTCCTAATGTTAGAAAGAGCTTGTCATTGGGAGGATGGCAAATGGCAGATGAAGATAAAGAAATGTTACAGAATCATTTGGATGAAATTGGATCTGAGGTTTGAAATTCTCATGATATAAAATATGGGTCAAACATAAAATCAACGATTTGCGAAAAAACTGAAATAAACTGCTAGTCTAAATTGTTCACGCTGAACTGAACACTTTAAGTTGAAGTTTCACCGAGGTGTATGTTATTTCCATTGGTGTCATTTCAATTCTTTAAAGGAGTGATTAAAATATAATGTCATCGCAGTCAATATGATTGTGTTGCACATATTCTATACTGTATTTGCTCGTTTTATAGCCCGGGCCTATATATTTTTAACCAAACTCACAAACCGGGCCCTTATTCAAGCACAGGCGTTTGTTATTTTTAAAGTGAAATTATACACAAAAATATATAAAAAAACATATATATATAAATAAGATCGATTGTTACAATAATTAATATATTGTCATTTCCAGTTCTCAAGTATGATTTAAACGAGAATAACGAAAATTTTGACTTTCTCTACGCACCGCAAGTACAAATCCGCAAAAGAAGAAAAGTTTTGCGACGCCCTATCAATATTGAAATGACGCACTTGGGTGTCGCGACGCCAGTCTGAGAACCACGGTGTTACGTAATCAGGACGCCTGTGGCGTGAGTGTTATCTACCAGCGCTTAAAATTCCACAGCGTTGTGACAAAAGCGCTTCTTATTTCCTATTCTTCTCTACCACGAAAAAATCAGCTTTTACATCGGGCGGGTATTCACGCACCGGCCCTTATTTATTTTTATGTTCTGTTCATACGGGCAGCTATTCAAACAGGCCCTTAATCAAGATCGGGCGGTAAAACGAGCATATACGGTATTTGCTGTTTTTTAATTATGTTTATTTGTGCTTTAATAAAAAGTACATTTTTTTAGTTTCCAAAATTTATCATTCATCCTGCTCTACTGCATAGATGCTTAATTTTTTTTTATCAAATGAAACCAATAACAAAAATTTTACAATATCAAGGTTTTGTATCAAGATTCATTTGTGTTTCTGTTTCGCCAAGCAAAAGTCTAAATTTGAAATGAATTTACTAATTTTTCACAATAATTCTTATTTTAATGAACTACCAAGTCACTAGACTGTCAGTTTAGTGGGTTATCAAAGATAAGATGAAGTATGCAAATTTTGAAAGTTTTTCAATAAATGGAAGAATTCTTGATAAAATAAGCAGCACTTTTATATAGTATGGTTTTATGGGAAAATGCATCAAATTTTACCACTGGAATCATTAGATACCATTGTCTGTTTAAATATTGTTCTGCGTCCTTAGCGCTAATTCTGATAAAAATTTATTCATTGCAGGTACTAAGAATTCAGTTGGATGAATCCATTCTCAAAAGTCAAAGGAAGTCAGCAGATGCTACAACCAATGTTTTTTCTAAACAACTTCCAACCACAACTTCAAAAGCTGAATTTGGTAAGTTGTAAATATGTTTTTTAAATTGAATGATGCTATGGTATGATGAGTACGTAATGGTCATCCAGTATTTTAGTTATGGTCATCAAGTATTTTTCATTTTTTTGGGGATTTATTGTTAAATGAATATATTTTCATTGCTGCTGAAACTGGCATATCCTTCAACAGCATCTTGCAACATGTTATATAGCCTATTGTGATTCTTCAAACAGATTTTATATTTTAATTGTTTAATATAAATATGGAAATATTGAACAAATTTTCAGTCTGATATGATTGAATATAAATCTGGGATATTCAAAATTAATTTCATGGAAAAATATAAATTGTCTCCAAGTTGTTACATTTGGTTGCAGAGCATTGTTATGGATGGACGCTTGGCATTCCAATCTGATTGATTTGCTCGGTTCACAGTTTCGGATCTTGGGGATAATTAGGTGCGAGAGATTCGCTTAATTTCATGTCGTCAAATAGTGGTTCATGTACCCACTGGTTGATTGAGCTTCCTTCTTCAAGTCCTTGCTTCTGAAATAATAACTAGCTGTTTAATCCCATTCCCAAACATGCACTGGTAACCGGAGGAGAGGCCATGGTTCACTGTATAAGCCGCATTATTGATTTGCCTATTTTTTTCGAGTAAAATAGGAAATTCTATCATAGTTTCTGATAAAAGATGTTAAATAGCTCAAAACAGAGTCTTAAGTAGTATCATCGTTTTTTGATAAATATTTATTATTCTTTCTAAGGATCACCATATGACAGTTTTGAAAATACTGGAGAAAATGTGGAGACTTTACAAGAAGTAGGAAACCCCAGGTTAGATATAACAGTACTTTGTATGATATAAAATGCTGACCTATATTTCAATTGTCAAGGACAGTGATGGCTTAGTGCAGCGGTTCCCAAACTTTATGTTCGTACGGCGCTAAATTATCTGGGAGAAAATCGCGGCACACGTACATGAAACTTGTTGCCTTTGGATAAAACTGAATTTTGTGATCGTTATTGTGCATTTATGCTTTTTAAAGTTTGTCAATATGTGCGCCTGAAGAAAAGGGAATGCCATTAAAAACATTCAAACTTATTTATTTAATGAGAGGTGTGTGGCAGTTGCTCTGAACACCTCTTTTCAAAGCAAGATGTTATACTTGTTATGCACATGCATTTCTCTCTCATATCCAAACGTAACCGGTATTTTGTTTTGATTGACACCACTGCTGAAAACCCAGCTTTGCAGAGGTAAGAGGTTGCACTTGTGGCCATTCCAAACAAAATTCATATGAGTCATTAAAATCTGATGTGAAATTGACAAATTGCTCAGGTTTGCTTGTTGATAAGCATATATATTCATATACACATCATTTAAAATGAGAAATAATAAAACATTTATAATAAATACAATATGTAAAAAATTCAATCATATATCAGCTATGTTTAACACAATTCTGTTAATTTTTGCGTCATGGGAACCTCTGGCCTAGTGGTTAAAGTGTTGAACTTATTATCTATCACAGGTTAAAAATCTTTGGTTTAAAGCCCATGCCCACCAGCTTACCTGGTGCACAATCTTTAACACTGTGGGTGAGGGGAGGAGGGTTTTGAAATCGAGTAATAGGGGCTGTTATTTTATCCAATGAATCAAAATTAATACATTTGCATTCTCCAATTTATCTTCAGAAGTGAACTCCCACTGTCTGAAGAAGAAGCAGAACATTCAGATAAAGAAGTAACGGAAGAACTTGCAAAGCCAACTCAGCATAGTAAGTCAGTCATCTTAATAGAATCAGATGGCGTTGGGCTGAGTTGAATGCTTGTGATTATGAGAAAGTGCTGAATCATTGAGATGTTGGAATAATACAGGGGGTGTGCAACATTTTTTGCCGGTGGGCCATATAACCAACTTCAGACATCTAGCTAGGCCAGACAAAAAATTTAGTTTTTCCATAAACATAAAGTATTGAAAAATTCCCACAATAAAGAATCCCATTTATGTAACAGTTTAGTGGGACATTGGAAACTTTAAGTTCTTGCATAATTTGTTAAGATCAGCTTTGTCAGAACTGTCAACATAAACTGTCGGATTAGGATTTTATGCTTGATGGGAAACAATTTGAGTGTTGATTTGTCCACACTAAATGGATTGACGGGCCAAATCTTAAATCGGAATCTTTTGCATGAGCTCTTTGTCATGTCTTTGTCATGAGCAAGAGGTTTTCAAAAAGTTTTGTTGCTACAAATAAGGAGTCACACGCTCTCACATCTGTTTCTGAGTTGAAATATTTGTTTTTAGCTTTGTGATTTGCTTATTCCCTTCAAACAACAAAACAGCTACCCTATTTTCCAGCTAGTAATTCGACCTGCCAAATAAGACGATGCCTATTTCTGGCACCCAATGAGAGGGTTTTATATAAAGCTCTCCAATAAGACGGGTGGAATATTTCTCCTCTGTTAGTCATTTTAGCATTAATATGAATGGCGCGCCTAGGTCATGTTTGTATTCTAACAATAAACTGGCAAATTAAAAAGGCATAGGTGGTCATTTTGAACAGTCAGCTCAAGAGCTAATTAATATTAGTAAGCGGAACACTATACTTGAAAATGTTTTGTAGATTAGATTAGGATTTGCAACCAGTGGCGCAGCCAGGGGGGGTTTTCGGTGTCGAAACCCTCCCTTTTGAATTTTCTGAAAAGTGAAAATGTTGCCGATAACACGTGCAATTGCCTTCTGCTAAAATCGCCGTTCGTTTTCATCAACGCGGCACGTTATTCATGCCGTGAACGCCCTTTACATTGGTGTTTATTCTCTTTAAATCACAAATTTGTGCTGCGGGAACAATGATAATTATTTTATTTTTGTACCCGCACGGAAATGTGAAAACTGAAAAAGCGTGCAATTGCCTTCTGCTAAAATCGCCCATGTTTTCATCAGCGTGTTATTTAGGCCGTAAACGCCCTTAAGTCGGTTTTTATTCTTTCTAAATTATAAATTTGTGCCACGATAAACACAATGAATATTTTATTCTTGTACTTTGCACGGAATTGTGAATTCGTGAGTTATTATACGTTCATCGGTGGCGAGGTTCTAAAGACAAAAGAAGGAGTAAAACCGCGATCTAAATTTGATTAAAAAGCTCCATTATAAAATACTGAAAATAAAACCGTAAACAATATAAGTTTTGTTGAGTCCCGCGCGGCAAAATTTCGTGTGCCTACGGGGCACATTATGTTTGGTCGCCGTTTCGGAACATACCGTCACTGAAATCGAAACACGGTTAATTGTGGGTGGGATTTGCCTTTTATCCATTACTTTAAAATTGTCGTAGAAAATTTTCGTGTTATCATTAAACAAGGTTGAAAACGCGATTTTTTCCCGGTTTGTGATGATATATAAGATAATTAATCCGAAGTATATCCATCAATTTTTATTGTACTGAAATAAATTTTACTCCATGAGAATTTACAGCAGATTTACGGATTTTTCAGGAGGTTTTATCAATCAATCAATCAATTCAATCAATCAATCAATCAATTTTATTCGGTCACTCTGATACAAACAAAACACAAAACAACAACAAAGGGACAAACAAAATACAGAGGACCTGGAGGACGGGCATAACTTAATAAAAAAGTTAAATACGTACAAGTACGTGCCCGTCCCCCAAAAACAGAATAAAACAAAAACACGATGTAACATCGGGCAACAACTTATAAATTCAAATTAAAATGTGAGACGTGTATGTGCTTTTCCTATACAGATATATGGATTAAAACACTCGCTGACGAAAAATGGTGATGTTGTGGGCCTACTTCAATTATATTGCAAAAATAACACAGTGACAAATTTTTTTTTACTAAAAAACAAGCTTGGTAAATGGATTGGAGTGTTGGGTTCTTTTGTCGTTTTCGGTTGGTTCACTTTAAAATCATTGTATCCGTTCCAATGCTTCCAACATTAATATCGAATTTCCACGCACGACCACCATTCAGCCATTCCAACAGGTGCAGTGATCCCATCTTTTCTACGCTCTGTTCCATCATATCTTTAAAAATAATCGGAGTGTCATCACTGCGATTGAACGGAGTCAATGTTACAAGCACATCTCAAATTTGTGGAATTTGCAAAATAGAAAAAATACGGATCAAAACAATATATATATGATAGGCGACGGGCAATTACCAAAAATTTTTATTTTTATGTCGGCAAATGGCCGAGGTATTTTAAAATTGTGAATTGTAAAAAATTGTTTTGTTTTGTCGACGCAAACGCTGGTTAAATTGAAGACAATTAAATTAATAAAGCAAGACATTTTAAATATGCTCTTATCGGTCACGAATTGATTGCTTTGCACAACAAAAAAATCATTTTTCGTTGTAAACGTCGGCTCTTTTAACAAGTGGCGTAATCGCGGCGATGAATATGTATTTTTGATATAACGATATACTTCATATGCATTTTCATTGTACGGAATAAAAATGTACTTTTCGGGATTTTATATCAGTTATAGAGATTTTTCTAACGGCGATAACGAGTTGACAAGATTCCAATAATACGTATTAAAATTAAATACACCGTTTATCTCATATTTCTATGTCCACCGATCGCCGTGGCATTTCAGAGAACTAATGTTTTAATTTTGACGTAAGAAGAAGCAACCGCGAGTTACGTTGGACACAATTAAACAATTATATAAAGACATTTTGGAATTTTGTAGTTGTCAGAGATTGAATTCACGCGACAAGAATAACCATTATACTGAAAAGACGTCCCTTTAACGAGCTCATAATGCGAAGACTGTTACAGACCGCAATGGGAATTTATGATTATGAAAACATAGGTTCAAAAGTTCAGGACAGTTGAAGTGTTCTATTTTAATCAGAAGATATTTTATTTTGGCCAACACTCGAGGCCACCCTCATTGTAAACTAATCAGTTTAGCATTATGAGCTAGTAATATAAGGCATTGAAGATTTCATGAAATAATAGAATCTTCATTTTACTAAAGGAAACACTGACACCAATTGTTTTGTATGACTAGGTTGCCTAGATTGCAACTTCTTTTCTTTCCTCTATACCAGGACTAGGCAATTCACAGTCCGCAGGCCTGATCCAGCCCATCGAAGTGTTTCATCTGGTCAGGCAGTTTCGAGTCTGATTTAAATAAGTCGAGCATGCCGCCCTGATAACAACTTAGCTAGAACTATGTAATTATTCAATGATATAATGACTATAACTTCAAAAAACTGGCGCCACACCATTATCACATTGGGTTCCAGCAATTCTGGATTTTTCCAACAATCCATGGAATCCAAACATGCGGCAGTATGGCGCATGGTTCCAATTGTTAGGAATATGCTTGCCATCGCACCTATGATTACACTCCGAGGGTTTGCGAGTTAAATCTTTGCCAGGGATAATTATATTTGATAGGATTATGGAACATTGTCGTAGTGTTGTCCAATTACCCATTGGCTGGATACAGCTTCTTCTATCATCAGTCCATGCATTTGATAACAAATAACTAATTAAGTGCCATACTTAAAATTGATTGGTAGGCGGACGTGAGGCTGTGGTACGCCATATGCTTGTGCTGTCATATCGATTTTCCTCTTCGACAGGATAAATACGTAAATACAATACTATTTCTGTAACTTACTTTTTAAATTATTTCCACACTCACTGAAAACAAAGCATTGAACTGATTGCAATCTTACGTTAAAAGCTACAAAACCTGGAAAGACCATAATCATCTTGGTTTGACACAGTCTACAAATTTTCCTACTCCTGCAAGCGGTTTTCTTGTATTGATTATGACTATAATAAAAATCTTTAGCATGTGGCAACGGAGCCATGAGTTCTTTAGGATAGACTGATTTTGCCGTATATTCATATAAACAGCATTTGCAGCATAGTTAAGTCGGTACTCATGTAGTATGCGAACCAAGATGGTGGACGCTGAAACATAGTATGTGTACCAGGTTAGGGTTAGGCCATAATTTCAGTTACAAATATTATGGGAGTCACTTGGCTAGTCCCCGAACTCTTAATAGAACTAATATAAGGAAAATTGGAATGAAATTATGGCCTCACCCTAACCTGGTACACATACTACGGGAGCGCCGTTAAGTCATTACTTCAGTGATTTCTATGTATAAGACTTCATGTTTAAATAGCTAATTGAAGTTGCTAATTATGAAAAATATTGTATACCAAAATACAATTGTTAGTGTCATAACACAGAATAAAAAATGTAATGATTTTCATTTAGAACTGTAATAAATTATTATAAATTTGAAAAATCTGAACAACATTAAGAAGAATATGAAACTTTATTTTATCCTTCATATAAATAAATGGCTTTTCTTACGCAAAGTGGTAATTCAAATTTTTTTAAGGTGATACTTCATCTAGAACTACTGGTGAGAAGAGGAGAAGAACTTCAGACGGAGAAGGAGGTTCAAGGTCAGAAAAATCATTAACATAATTAAAAAATAATGATCTTGGAAATATTTGTTTCATATTTGAGTCTTAATTGTGATTATCCTTACCATCAATACTCGTTCTTTGTCTGACTGAATTTATCTATGGAACAAGTTTCACTTCAACTCAATAGATTTGTTCATAGCCTTGTTCAGACCAATGTGGTATCCTGAATTTACATTCGTCATGGTTGTAGTACAATATCTTTATAAAATCTTATTGTTTTGAGATTTTGCCCGGATAAGCCTAAAGCAGTTGCAAAAATTGAATCTTAAAAACAATTTTGCTCATAATTTTCATGTCTTCAAAAAGACTGGTGTGTCTCGATTGTTTTTCTCTATGCAGTTTTTTTTTTTTCAAATCATATATATTGGCTAACTAATCTGAAATCCGACATGGATTGGCAACCGGACAGAAGGCCGTGGCTTCCCATATTATTGACCCGCCTTATCGTCTTCCTCAACCCCCCTCAGGATGAATAGATAAGTCCTATTAGGATTTACAATACATACTTTGTGTTACATTTTTTGAAAGACTAAAGTTTCTCTTAGTGTCAATTGTTTCTTTTATACTATTAATTTTTATTTTTGACTCGTTTGGAATCTTGGTGTCTCAGACTCCTTATGACCAGTTCTGTCCTCTCGTGACTTCCTGTATATTACTTCGTCCCTGAATATAATTTATTTTGATTTCTTGCATGACGAAATAAACTCATTGTCTATAGCAGGGTTTACCAAACTGGGGTCCGCGGGCCACACGTGGCCCACCGCTTCATTATATGTGGCCCGCGTCGAATTTGGAGTGTAATCGAAAAATCGGATTCGATGATATTTCGTCATGAAATTAATCAGAAAAATCTTTTGAGATACTGTTATATCACTAACGTCACTGAATTGACTAATGTTATGGCATTTTTTGCGTTATGAAGAGTTTGAAATCTTACACTAAATGTAGTTATAGCTAAGATAGCTTGATACCTAATTTTGAGTGATTTTTAAGTGATAAACATGAAAATCTTTGCCAATAAAATAAAATTCAGTCAAGAAATTTACTTTGTTTTCTTATGTACATGAACTTTGTTTTCAGAAGCAAAATCCCTACAACTGAATTAGAAGACATTCAACAAGAAGATGAACTAAGTCTATATGGTAAGTCTGCCACATGTCCATAAACTTAAATATTATGAGCAGTATGGTTTTTGTAATATTTGTGTGATTGCGTTTAATTAAGTATAACAGGGTGGTCCAAACCCTGGTATGGTACATTTCGTGCGGCGCTCAGAACAATTTTGACAGAAATAAATTGTCTTGGGCAGACAGGGCCCGGCAGGTTCGATAAGTGGATTTGAGCTTTTCATCCCGATTTCACACCTTGAGCTCGCAACAAACTCTTTATTTAGAGAAACATTTTGTGCCTATATTTTAGTGGGCCTTGTGATAGCAGTGGCGAATCGCAGAGCCCAATCAGTTTTTTTAAGCTAGGTCCCCAAATCCCAACTTTGGTGTACTTGATTGTTCTTTGGCCTATTTACACTGCAATTTATAAACTAGTCAAACATAACAATTCATCATAAAATTTATTGTTAATTGAAATGTGACAGAAGAAAACTGGAAGGAAACGTATTTCCTTGCCCACAACAGTTGTAAACCACAGTCACTGGTGTTCATATTTATTCCACAACATTATGATTTGAAGCGACACCACCCATGCAACATAACAATAAGCTAATTAGAATGATAAATTGTCATTCTTTAATATTTTCAACGGAAGTAAACTCACACTATTTCCATCAATTCTGGATTTTCTCTGACTGTGACCCACAAGGCCTCCTTGAAATTGCGGCCCTCCAACTTTGCAAGCTTGGACTAGCCTGAAGTGCAAAATCGAGAGTAGTTTGGTGTTTTGGGCGAGCATAAATGTAAACAAAGTTAATTTTTATATTATATTATGATTTTAGAGTGTAACTTATGCAATATGAAACTAATGAATTATGGGGAATTAAAGAATCTAGAACAGAATATTTGCAATAGCAGGTTATACATATTTATGCCTCAAAAATATCCATGTCCTCGTAATTCTTTTGACTCCAGTATCAAAACACTTGTTAGTACACGGTACCATGTTAGGGTTAATACTACAGGTTTCTTCCTGCCAAAAAGTGTCATTATTTTGTTACTTGTACACTTGATGGTATATATGCACACAATCAAATGTTCGATGCCCTCAAATTTAGCCTACTTTTTTTTACGGTATCTCGCCAACACAACACTGTGAGACTGTCTGGTCTCGCACTTTTATTTTCATGGTAACTAGACTGTGGTGCATGGAATCGACTTTTTTTTGCTGAAACAGTGATTGTTTGGTATGTACCGGGTTGCTTTGGCGTACCTATTGCTTTTCATTTTATTTATTCAATAACATATTTAGTTCGATTTTATTATATTCATTGGGTTTCTGTTAGATTCTCCCAAGGGGGGAGTCGCTCGATAACCAGTATTGGTTTTCGACATCTCCTTTCACCCTGGAATGCGACTTTTTATATTTCCTTCAATTTGTGTATGTATAGTTTGTACTTTCAGCATGTTGAAGAAATAAATTACTGATTACTATATTTACTAACTCACTCCTTTATTTCTAGCTTTGCCGCAAATTGAAAATGTTTCATCTCAAAGAAGTGGATTCGACATTCTTTTGACTTGGAATGCAGTATCTGTCAGAAACGTTCTATACAACATAGAAATCTTCTGTGATGATGAAAAACATGGAGAGACTCACATTACAGAAGTTCCTCAGTATAGGATGCAGTCACCTACACTTGGTAAAACATATCGTTTCCAAGTCTGGGCCAAGGATGAATGGGGAAACTCTGGCGTTAAAACGCAGTCAAAAAATGTTATAAAAGGTATATTTTCAGGATTATGTAGATTTTAATTTTTTTTGTCATGGACTCCTGGAAATAATACACATACGAGTATACATAAGAGCAACCACTGGCAGTCAGAATCATATTGTGGTGACAATAGACTGCCCAACTCATTGTAACAATTTATTCCAGTTTTGTCATGGATTAGATCCTAATCGACTAGCACAGGGGTGTGCAAAATGTGGCCCGTGACCCAAGAAACGAGTTTTTAGTTTCGTTTATCTGGTACGTGCGAGCAATTCCAATCTCTTTACGCCTCAAAGCCTATACTGTACCAGTACCTGGGTGCCACTGCGATATTAGCAACACTAGCTAGCAAAATTCTGTTGCAAATTACACACGGCTGAGAAAATGTAGCAAAGGCACGGCCTGCAGCCTTACCCAGTTACTTGTATCTGGCCCTTCTTTAATGAAGTTTGCATACCCCTGGACGACGGCATGATATTGAAATTAAAGCAAACCAAGTAAGTAATTACAGTATGCACTACATTGCGACTATTGGGAGCACTTTTGGAGGGTCCGCGAAACAAATCTGTAATATGGCTATTAGCTTGATAATGCAAAAATTGAGTGCCTAAACATATACACATTTACCGCCTTTTGCAATCACCGCTAGAGACACTGATTCTTCACTTTATGTTTCGTTCACACTGCCCATTGTAATGTCACAGAGTTGTGGGCCTGTGATATCACAGAGAGAGTTCAATTCATGCCACCACAGGTATACTAACTGCAGTGCTGTAGCTAACGCTGCCCTTTTACTAAATATCGAAACAGACTGGATGTCACACTCACACATGTCATTAGAGTTGCGCTTTATATTCTTTTGTTCGTTTCACTATACGGCACATTGATTTTTTGTTGTGATCTTTCAATGTTTTGGTGCACATGACCGGGAATCATTAAAAAAATCGCGAGGGGTCCGTCATGGAATTTTTTCAAAAAGTTTGAGAACCACTGCTCTATAGCAAAGCTGGTCAACTCGTTGATAGTCATGTCCCGAGTAGTCGATATCATCTGATATTGGTTGAATTTAATGGGTGAATGGGTGGGCCAACTGGGTGAATTTAATTACATACCACAAAATATATAATATACACATACAGTATTTGAGTCTGGGCAAGTTCTATAGAGCATATTTTTACGTAACAAAAATAAGTTTTACCACTGCCAAGGTTTGAAAATGACACGTCGAATACTGTGTGTCTTGCTGACAAAGGATGCTACGATACTTTTTCCAGTATGCAAAAATATTGTCTCATTTTAAAAGTAGTATGATGAATTTCATTTGCAACTGGCATCAGAATGTCTAATTTTTTCTAATTCCAAGTGAGCAAAGAATTACCTTTGGAGGAAATTGTAAATTAGATACCAAAGTTTGAGCAGTCATGTAACATTTATGGTTTGAGAATATTTATTTTTGCTGTTTAGATAATACATGATTACTTGGCAAAGTTTCTCTAGGACTTTTCAACACTTACAACTAAAAAATTGGACCTCATATTTGAATTGTATAATATGAATAAATCTAAAACTAATGATGAAACATTTACTTAGAATAAAATTACATAATCAAATTAACAACTTCAATGAAACATAAAAATACAAATTTTGGGCCTATTTTATTGGCTGCTTATTAGCAGCGATGGTAGTTTTTATGCGTGTGTGCGGTTATCTGCATATTCATTACCCATTGCCCACCCAATTTATCAGACCCCAGGTGATGATCATGAGATTTGAATCCGATACATAATAATCTGCGATGTCAACACAGTTAAGTCAAACACTTTAACGACCAGTCCATCGCACCGGCCTGATAACTTAGTTAGAACTACAGGGTGTTAAAAAAATAACGCAAAATTAACAGACATTAAGATGAAATGCTACTTAACACCTTTTAAAAGCATTAAATTTCAGTGAAATACAATTTGAACCTTTCACGACTGACGATTTTTAATAGTTACTTTTTAACGTTGCCATGACAAAAAAGGTTACCTTAATTTTGCGTAGCTTTTTTAACACCCGTATAAAAGTATTGAATGATATCATAACTATAACCTGAAAAACAAATTTTTGTACTTGGCTTTGAAAGAAAGCATCATTACATGGATTGATCAAGGATTTAATCCAGTAGCATCCTTATAGTTTTAAATTATTGAGTTTTATGAGCCTGTTATCTGTAAATTAAAAACATTTTAATAGACTCTTTTTTGCATAGTTATTAACAGTAAATTCAAATTGTTTTTAGTCGAAAACATTGGAGTTGAAGGGGATACAGTAAACCTCAACGAATGCAAAGTTACTTTTCCGGATGGAACATTCAATGAAACAACAAAGGTCTGGATGTCACTTGGATTGGACAATTCAATATGCCCACCACAATACATCGCAATCACACCAGCTCTCGACATCAGTGCAGAATCAACATTACGCAAAAGCGCATTAGTACAAATGAAGACATGGCGTCTCGAGCTGAAGAAAGAGAATGTTGACATACTTCACTTTACTAATGACACTGACTGGAACATTATTAAACCTGATCTAGTCACGCATGACAGAACTATAGAATTTCGCTGTCAAGAGTTCAGTCGAGTACTTGCCGTTATCAACGCTATCAAACGATGGTTTTCTGGCCCCCCTCCTCCAGTTCTCAAAGAAAACTTTCTTTATATCATGGGTCATAATCAAATTTGCATCACATTTTTCAGTCTAAGTGAACTTGTAGAAAGAAGCATAATTACATATTACGAAAGCCGTGGTGCACAACCGGTACCAACAAGATTCAACCAAGTGATCTTAAGACATGGAGACAAAATTCATCTCAAACTGCGAATCGAAGGAGGGCCTGGAGACTTGCAGTTCAATGAACCTAATGGTCACAGATTTTCCGTAGATGATGATTTCTTAATGGCATCAAGACATGACTTTGAATTTGAACTTCTCCCTAACTTGCAACAATATCCTCAAATTGTCATCAAATGTGAAATGGAGAAAAATGAAGATGAAATTAATAGAAAAGTTATAAAATTTACTTTCCCACTAAAACCTCCAGGTGAGTGGGAATGTAACTATTGTTTTGCTCTGAAGGATGCCCCGAGCAAGTTGGTTTCATTTCAAATTGAAAGATAAATGTCAAATAGTTTCGTCTGTTTGTTAAAATTTAGATTGAACAGAATGTAGATTACATGATTGGCCAGTTATAAAATTCCCATCATTTGAATATGTAAAGTTAAAATTTATTACCCTAATTTTTGCATATTGAAGTTGTAAAGAATGTCTTATGTTAACTGCGCATTGTCTTAAGAACCTACCACTACATCACACTTCTATTGATATATATTTTTATAAGTAAGTGGCATCCAATAAATCATGGTTACATTCATATATATTTTTATGAGACCATATATCTTTAGTTTGATACTAAGCCGAAGGTGATCATAAATATTTTCTGCATTTTTCATCTTTTTATACTTATATTCATAGAACGCAGAGAACCTCCACCTATCAACTTTGCTGGAGCAAATATTGGGAATCTGCATCTACCGGAGAGAGGAAATCAGAACAATCAGCAAATGGTGAGATTTGAGTAATATTTATTCTCAACTTTCTATAATGATTTTCAAAGTATTCATATGTATGTTTTCAATCATCTCCTACACGATGTAATAGATAGTTATAGGCTCGGTTGTGTGGTGCATCGGGCTAAGCGATATGAATACACTTGGTACCACCCATTTGATTACCCTGTGGGTTTGCAGGTTCGAATCCTATGGGGGATAATTATGTGCGAGAGGATTGCTGGACTCTTCGGCGCTGCAGGGTGTTTCACGTAACTGCGTAACCGCTGGTCATTTATGGCTTACTCCACCATCAAGTTTATGCAATTGGAAATATTGACTAACTAACCCCATACTCTACATAAGATAGACTGATAACAAGACGAAAGGCTGTGGTTCGTCATATGATTAAGCAGTGTTATCGGCTTTTCCTCCCCCGAGATAAATGTGCAAAACCTATCCTAATTCATGTTGATAATAAGCCCCAAAATGTGATGTCACTATGCATATTAGAACTTTGCTATACCAGGGGACCAGAAACTGTGGGATATTCAATCACTAAGCCATATGAAATATTTAATCCCTAAATTTGAATGATATTTGTCTGCGTTTTTATAGCAGGTAATAAAGATAAAAAATATGCTAGATAGTAATATTGAAATTTTTTTAAGGGGCAAAATGAACAAGAAGAAGCTGGTGCAGTAGGTGGAAACCAAGCAATAGAATAAACCAATACAGCATGAAGGTGATGACGGTACGTGAAATATCATTTACTAAAACAGCAAACTTGATTTCTTGTCTTTTATATTCTCGAAATAGTTTGTGGAGTCATATTAGATCAGTGGTTCGCAACCTTTGATAATTAGAATGAAAATTACCATTCAGTAGCAGAAAACAGCATCATCAATGATTTGTACTACAATCAAAATTATAGATAGTGATACAAATAAAACTAGCATTTTTTAATGGTTCTGTGGCCTATCTCAAAATCTTTTCGTGGCGCAGCAGTGGGACATGGCCCACTGGTTGAGAACCAGTGTATTGGGTGAAACAATAACTCATTTTGTCTCCTATTTTTGCTATGTTCACTGTACTGTGAGTAATATGCCTTCGTTTTTTGAATGTGGTCTTCACATATCTGCGGACGTTCAATTACCCCTGAAATATTAACATATTTGCAGAAATTCAACCAGGTTTTTCCTAAAGTTCATATTTAACAAACAATATTCAAGATTTGTAATTGTTGCTAATCTAATGCCTTATTCAAACATCACATAGAAAATTGCTATGATATTTCTCTACTGAGCACAATTTTTAGAGCCATCTGAATGGAAAATTTTTTTTTTTCAGATTCTGATGATCTTGAGAAGTTTCCCAAACTGACCACATTCTAAAGACATTGCTAAAATACAAATGTTTCATCAACATGTTACTGTTAATGTCGTATATTCAACATTACTGTCGTTAACATTACTGCCGTTATATTCAACATTAAATTTCTCCAATAATCTCAGACTGAATGCTGAATGATCCTGTGGTATCCTGCAACACATTATGGACATGCATATGTAGTAAAAGGCTTAAATATTAGTAATATTAACTCTTAAAGATTAGATAGTCTTGTCCAGTAATAGTAGAATTAAGGGAAAAATTTTATAATTTTTTTTGTGTGAAATGCTGATTTTGCATAGGCTTGGATTGTGAAAACATAGTAATTGACTCTTAGTCATATGCACCACCCTTCAGCAACGGTTTCGGTAATTTAGGTCATCCCTCACAAGATTTGACCTCTTGAACTGTTCTCAGAGCATTTTGTAAAATCCTGCACCAAATCCTGATTTGCATGTTTTGTCATACAAATTCTTGTCATTTCATAATATTTTTAATTTTTTTTTCCTATTAGTTTTACAAATTAGGCTGGGTGCTGCATTAATGCTTTAGCTTCTTATGTACTATTTTTAGTGAGTCATAACAAACTCACGTTAAGCTTTTCCAGATATCATGTGTATTGTTTTTATGTCGCCCTCATTCAGAAATTTTTGTGTAATTATAATTTTATGGTATGTCAACAACTTCCATTATTTAGGTCAGGTTTTGAGTTTTTTCTTATAATTGACAACTGCTGTACTTATTCTTGCTGTATGTCAGTTTACTTTGCCACTCCACATTTTTGCTTGAATTTTAAAATATATAAAAATAATAAAAACTATAAAAATCAATAAAAATTATAAATAAAAAAAAATCCAAGTTATTAACCTATATCGTAACCCGTTTCAAATAGCCATTGTTCGAATTTTTATTAATTCTTGTTGTGAAATGCATTATTATCTTTTGCTTTTATGTTTTTCAATTATTGTCAACCACTGATATCTAATATTTCTGGGTATATTTTAGAACATTCCTATAAATTTATGATATTCTGATTTGTCGGCAAGCCGATTGAAATTGATATTGTGTTCCGAAAACTTGGTAGCTAAGGACTCTACTGGAGCCCAGTGTAACTTTGCCCCTAATCTATGTAAAGTAATAAGAAATGTCCATTATGGATTCTAGTAATATTATAATAGTGATACATGTAGAATATTACAATGATGTTTTGTTTTGCAATGCCTATTACAAATTTCCATTTTTTTGTTTTGCGTGAGTCAGGTTTTTAAATTTTCATGTACTGCAATCCGCTTTTCTTGTTCATTCTCTTGTTTATTCACTCTTCTTGTTTATTCTCTATACCTCCGTGTGTTTCTCTAAGTTTTAAAAAAGTGAAAATAGTCAAAAAATAATGAAAAATAAAAATTTATGTATTTTCCTAAATATGAAAAAGTAAAAAAAATTAAAAAAACAGCAAAAAATAAAAAAAAATTTCGTGTATCCCATAAATTTAAAAATATAAATGTGAAATATTTCGTTAAAGAGCTTATAGCTTTATGATACAAAATGAAATGATCAACATAACACTTTGGCCTGCATAATCTAACAGGTCTTCGTCAAAAATGCTTCGATTTTCTTTTTATTCTATGTTGTATTTTGTTAATTGTTGTAGCATCTGTATAATAAATAATCAATGTGATAGAACCGGGCTCCATGCCCAAGAGCCTGATTGCCTACAACTAGAATTTTGCGAGTTACATGCTGTTCGGATCTCATGGATTTCAATTTTGTGTGAGAGACTAGCAGAATTCAACTGGTAGATTGGTTGAGGAAATCGACCCATATTTTACTAGCAACTATTCACCTGGGTTAGTGTTTGGACGGTAGGGCATCATTCATCATATAGCTAAAGCTAAGGAATTTTATTTTTATTCCTTCGTAATGAAGAGGAAAAATTAATCCAAAGCCAAGTACTTGAAATTGCCATTTTTCGATAACCTGAATGTTTATTACGACAAGATTTTCATGGTGATGCTGGCAGCCTTGGCTATCAGAAATCAGAGTATCAAAAAGCGAATGATGTCGAATGGACAAGCAACAATGGGTCTCCTAGAACTTTAGTTTTTGGCAGTTCGACACGTTGAAAATGGATGCGACTTATGCGAGATGTCAACCGCTATATGTAGCCTACCTGTTTACATGTTTATCCTGTGGAAAAAACTGATATGAGAACTTGACCTTATGGCTAACCACAAATCCATGTCAGATACAGGGTTAGTTGGCCAGTTATAGGACGGGATTTAAATATTTATCTTAGGAGAGAGGAAAACTGATAGGACAACTTAATCATATGGCTATCCACGTTCTCTCATCCGCTTACCAGTCCATGACAGGTACGAGAATAGCAAGCCAGTTATTTGTACAAAGCTCATGGACTTGTGGCATCTGATAGGTCAACACTTTGGGTGTCGCTGCTTGATAACCATTTTTGGTTCTCCGCGACTTCTCTTCCCTATATTCAATATGTGTATTCAATATTACTCGTTAAACATTGTATATTATTTATACTGGATGGGTAAAATAAACTTGACTATGCCATACCGCGACCGATTGGCCTGTTACCAATCCATGTCAGGTATAAGTATAAGTCAACCAGTTATTGGCTACAAATGCAGAATAGAGCAGATGTGATTGAACGCGAAATACTACTTGAACTGGAAATTACGAGGGTTGACTATCACAGGCTGAAACTGATGGAAAAGTTCAAAGGTAGGATAGGATAGGATTTACATATTTATCCCGGGGGAGAGGAAAGCCGATAAGACGGCTTATCCATATGGCGAACCACGGCCTCTCGTCCGGTTACCATTCCAAGTCGGGTATGGGATTAGTTTTTACTGTATTGTTTGTTTTCGGAAGCATGGACTTGGTGGTGGAGGAAGCCGTAACCGACCAGCGGTTACGTGAACCACCCAACGACGGCGAGGAGTCCAGCAATCCTCTCGCACATAACCATCCCTGCATGGGATTCGAACCTGCGAACCCACGCAGAGTAATTAGAGGTGCGGTGGCGAGCGTATTCCTAACGCTTAGCCCGTTGAGCCACACCGCCGCAAGGTCGGGGATCAGAATTTCTCTTGCTGCTTCAATAATTTAAGCAGCATAGAAGAACCTGTAACCGAACAGCGGTTACATTAACCACTCTAACAGTATAATCACGTTGCATTCAACCATTCTCAGATTATGTAGTTGTGATTATAACAAGTTCATACTCATAGGTTATCAATGTGACAAGAGGAACAGCTATGCCCCTTTCCCCGACCTTTGACCCCTGGAAAATTCTCCCTATACTTTACCATTGCAAAATTTTCGGGGCTATTTTAAGAGTGCTTTTGCGAGTTGGGGCCTGTAAAATGGGGTATGTGTTTCAAGCCATCATTATGATTCATCGCATACAACAATCTGTATTTTAAAAGTACCGGTAGAGAATTTCAGGTTAGGGTACCACAGCTATTTCTACACTAATTTTCATTAATGCAATTGAATTGAAACTCCTGGGAAGACAGAGTGATCATTGAATTATCTGATTTATATTTAAGTTTCCGAAACACAACTGCAAACTAACAATCGAGTTTAAAAACGCGAAAGCGAGGTAATGTTTACAACCACGCTTGAAAATCTGTCTGAGCAATGACATTAAACAACATGATGCGCAACTCCGGCATTTTTGGCCGAAGATCGTATCCGATAGCACGCTCCAATGCACATACTTGACGAGACGAAAACGAGCGAATGTGTGCTGCTTTCAAGGCATAGCACGATTGGTGTTCGTGCCTGCTTTGACAGTTGTTGTCGATTTTAATGATTTATTGGAAAATTGAAGGTAAAAAGAAATCGGAAAAAAGTAAGGTAAATACTATTGTTGTATATCACACTCGGGCATCGCACTGTTAAGTACATGTGGGAAAGCCAGCTTTTGTCAAATACTACGAAGTTATTAAATCAGTACGGTACGTAGTTGTCCATTTGCCGAAATTGCTTATTTACTTACCCCTTATGGTTTCAAATAGTTCATACACCTCCATTTCGATTTTTTTTAATCAGTGAGGATATATACTCATTGCTGTAACATACTATTGCTCATTCACTTTTATTTGCGTATTGAATCAAAGGGTTAACAAGTTCACCTAACAGTTCACTCATACCGGTTTATATTGTATAGTCTGATCTCTCAAGTATTTGGAGCCACCGATGCTTGTAATTATCTGACTAAACCCCTTTATTAGTTGGTTTATATACCAAATTCAGTGAAACATTTTTTACATAAAACATGAGATATTGGATTTATTAGCTTTTCCAATCTAAATCATATAGACTGCTTTATTTATTCTTAACGAAAATTATTGAATCTCCTCTCTTTCTTCAGATGTGAAAGTTTTGGAAAAACTTGTCTAAGCATTGTGGGACTCCTACAGCACAAGAGGCAGTAGCAAAAATAGTAAGTATATCAATCAAGAAATTAAGCCGACATAAAGCAAAACTTTTAACTATTCGTCCAACCTCAATTTCCTAATATTTATTCACAGGACTGTAGCAGAAGGGGATATTTCATAAGTCTGGCGACATATCAGTGACAGTGTGATTCCAAGAAATACAATCAGAATACTCCATAAATGTTTGCTATAGAAGAACAACCTATGGAGCCATGCAAAGACATTTGAACCTCCGGTAGAGTTGTGTATGGCCCCTACATCCCGCAGGGCTTGAGGAAAATAACTAAAAATCCCGAAGCGTAAGATTGCATAAGCGGTCTTCTTTGTAAAAAGGCACAAAACATGCCAGACATACTTAAAACAGCTTTGGAAAATGAGGATTATGGGTCACTCACTACACCTGTGTTATATTTGATTCATCAACTTTTGGTAGTACTAAAGAAGAAATTCAGGAAAGGGTATAATCATGATTCATGATAAATTACTGTTATATATTTTGGACAACTTCAATCTAGACCAGGGATATCAAACTCGCGGCCTCAGAGAACTTCCAGTGAGGCCCTCGAACGCTTAACAATAATTGTAATAGTATTTTGGAGTTTTTTTTTTATCTAAGTGTAATAGATTTTTCAGCCTTTTTAAAGTGAAATTGAATATTCACACAAAAAGCAATTTACTGAAAGTAGTTGTGGAAAATCAATTTTTTTTGTTCACATTTTGACCCAATTAAGAATACACATCAAGCTAGCAAAAGAATACTTGAATAAAACACTTGAGTGAATAAATTAAACGCAAAGTACATGAAGAAGGTGGCATGAAGAAAATGGGAGTTTGCAATATTTCTGCATTTCACAAAATTTTGAAGCACATTGTTTAATTTGTCATATTTCCATCAGTACAATGAAAAACACAATAAGCTCAGCAGTCAATATGACAATTTCGAAGACCAACTTCCAAAATTTCCATGTGTTTGTATATTAATATAAATATACAACGACTTAGTTACTAAAAATCAATATCAATAATAATTCAAGCAATCCTATGCTATGCAATGTGGCGCGAAATGTCTTGTCGAAAATATCTGTCATTTGTTTTTCTACTGATCTATTCATGAAATGATAAAAGTAACTTTTTTGCATTACTGGAATTAATTAAACATTCGCAAAGTTCCAGAGTAACCCATGATCATGTGACCTCGTTAGTTAGAGTTGGTACCATAAAATCATTTCAGCCTGGCCTTAGTATGCTGGTGACACAAACGTCAGGACAAATGTAATTAAAAAAACATTGAGTTTATACTGTAGTATTTTTGTTAATTTTAAGTCCATATATTTAGATTAAGTCATTTTTAGTGTATGTATTATTCTTTCCTTATCCAAAGCTTGTTCAAAAATGATTTTGATGGTTGTATAAAGAATTTTATGATTTTTTGTAATAAATACAGTAACTTGCAATAATAGTGGAATGCAAATATTAATATGTAATTGCATCTGAAATTAAAGAAAATAATAAAACTTAATCCAACTGTTTAGTTGCATTCTAATATATGTCACAAACTAAAACTATCTTGAAAATATCTTTCAAGTATACATTATCAAAAACTGTTTGCGGCCCTTTTTACAATTTCCAACATGCAATGCGGCTCTCGAAAACCCATGAGTTTGACACCACTGATCTATTCTAGACAATTCAAGCATTGCTTTGGGAAATAATATCACTTCAATTAAATTGAAAAAAATCTTGTCGTATTAAATACAAAATCGTTGCTATTATAAAGGTAAACCAATTCAGCCACTGGGGATATATTGGCCTTCACAAAGCAATGGAGGCAAAATTGAGAGTTCATGAGCTATGAACTTTTGTTCTTTTCTTTGTCTTGAACTTTTCATACTCCACAGCCCCTATTAATTTTATTTTTAATTTTAATTACCATGTGATGGTCATACATATCTTTAACTTGTATTTTCTGTAATGATGTATTATCTCAATGTGTCAAACTTTTAATTAGTGTGCATATTTTGCTTCCAGATGACATAAATGTATTGTCTTGTTTATTACCTCAGCTTGGAGTATTGACAAGAAAAAGGTGCCAGTAAATTCTTTGTTATAATCAGAATTCACAATTAATAGGAATTATAAACAGCCACCAATCAATGAGAATTACATGCGAAATCCCTCACAATAAATTTGTCCAAAAAATTCACCTACTAAGGCAAGTTTGATAGGTGCAAACTTTGTGTTAT